CAAAACGTTATTAATTTCATGCGTCCGAAGGGCACTATGATATGGAGTACCCTTTAAATACCATCATTTTACTTTTGTTTTCCATCTAGAAAGTTTGTAACGACGGTTTACTTTGAACTTTTGCAAAAGGTAGGTGGAAGATAGCAAAAGTTGAAACCGAACTGACAATGTCATGGCAAAAACCAAAAACGACCAGAAGACAACAAAACACTTAAATAAAAGTAAATGTAGTGTATACGACAACGACACAATTGACAGAACAAAACATCTAGACGTTTATATATAGACAGCTGTCTAAATGATGCATGTGTCAAGCTCTAAAATGTCTTGAGTTAGTGAATAAATTTAACATATTAATATTTATAATAGTAAATAGAATAAGACTTATCACCGGGTTTGTACTAACATGAGCAACTAGACGGGTGCCACATGTGGAGTAGGATATGCTTACCCTTCCTTAGCACCTTAGATCCCCCCAGCTTTTGGTGGGGTTCTTGTTGCTTAGTCTTTAGTTTTCTATGATGTGTTTTGTGTACTGTTGTTTGTCTGTTTGTCTTTTTCTTTTTTTAGTTATGGCGTTGTCAGTTTATTTTCGACTTAGGAGTTTGAATGACCCTTTGGTATCTTTTGCCTCTTTTTACAGAGGCTATCGGTGATTTGTCTTCAATACAACATTAAATTAAAAACTAAAAAAATATTGAGATATGACACGTCGTACTTAATAGAGGATGTGAACACGAGGGTGCTCTCTTCCCAAATTCCGCTTTTTTTGCAATTTTTTCCGACTCCCAACTAATTTTATTTTTTCCCAGATACTAGTTTTTTCTCCCTATAACCTGCATCCCCACCGTTTTTACTCCCAATATCCCATATCCCTGTATTAAGATATGTCATGTGACATCTGTTTATTCCTCACACTGAGTTTTTTAATTTGAACTTTTTTACAGGTTTCCTGTCTATTATTGGCTCGTACATATATCTGTATACAGAACATTAAATTCGGTAATGACTATGGCTTCCATATCCGATGATGTAGTGAAAATGAATATTTGACACCATAAAAGTACAAGGAAACGATGCTCACTGGTCATAATCAATTTACCGGTAGCACATTTATATAAATGGACATTACTTTATTGAGTATGATTCTGACCATTTTTTTTCTACTAGCGGAAAGCGGATAATTCATTTATAGGATTGACCATGGCAATAAATGACCTTTTTCTGGTCATTTCCAAGGATCGATCATACTCGGACAATTAAGCTAATGGGGTTGTCTTGGCGAACAGAAATAATTTATAAACCTTATTTGAAGAAATATTCAGACAGTTTCTTTTCCTCTGAGAATTATATTTGGAAAATTTGTCATCACTAATGATGAAGAAAAGTAACAGGCACATAAATGAGGGTTTGGAATTCTTTATGTATTTTTTTTACTCTTTATATTTTGGCCATTATTCTCTATTCTTTATTTTCTTCTTATATTTTTCTCTATTCTTTATTTTTTTCCCATTTTTGTGTGTGTGTGTAGATTTGCCCCATCATTCTCTATTATGTAAACCCCACCCAGACCCTCGTTGATTGAAAACCACTCGATTTTATTTGAACTTTGGTGGATAGTTGTCTCATTGGCAATCATACAACACTGTGCTGGACAAATTTGCCATTCCAGAATTGGCAAATCCCACTTTGTTGTTTTACAAGATAACAAAAATATTTATCGGCCAAGTGATAGATAATTAAAAAAAATAATTTTTCCCACATGTCCAAACATGTTACTGTTGTCGGAAATTTTTTTTTTTTAATTATCTATCACTTGGCCGATAAATATTTTTGTTATCTTGTTTCTTCATCATTAGTTAAACTTAAAATTTCCCATGGGAATATTAGAAGTTCCCATGGGAAAATTTAAAGTTCCCATCGGAAAAGGAATTACCCCATCTCTTTATTTTCATAAAACGTTGTTTTTTTTTCATATTTACTTTTTACTCAATCAGTAATATATACAATATTCCTGGGGGTTTTTTACATACCGTACAAAATTATTCATCTGGAAAGATTACAGAGTTTTCCTTCAGGGAATTTTGATTTCCCATAAGGAAATAAGTTTTTCCTCAGAGGAAATTTATAAAAAAAGGGGGCATAACTCCTCCAACAGTGGTGCTAAACCCAAACATTTTGAAGACAAATTCTGTATCAGGGAGCCAAATACCATGTTCGTACATAACTTCATTTTTCTGTAACTATGAAAATTAAGGAGTCAAGTTTTGCACGCAGCTGAATGGCAAACTTGTCCCGGACAGTGTTTGTTACTGGGTTAATTACAATATCGTTAAAAATTGTTCACGAAAAATAATGCCACCATCAGTTATAGTCGTTAGTGATGTTTTTATTAATATGGGATCCTGACACAATATTTTCAATACCGTAAGCGGACTTCCGGTTCGAATATATTTGAATTAAAGCTTGCAAAATCGAAAATATTTCATCAGGATTCCAGGTTAATGTTTTGTTGAGAACTGTAGAATATTGTCATTGATACCAAACTTTGTTTTGTCCAGTCTAATTACTATTGAGGTGTCATTTATCAACTCGAGTCAAGCCGTCGTTAACTTCAGTATTCCCTTTCAAACAATTTATTGACCATGAATAAGATTCTGTATGTTATGTCGTGTCTGATAATCCAAGTTAATCTATTTAAATCGAGATAATATAAAAATAAGAAGATGCGATATGATTGCCAATTAGACAACATAAATTGAAGGAAAAAACGGCAACACTAGAGAGACAATCAAGTTTACAAAGCACTAAACCAAAACCTTAAGATTGAGCGACACAAACTCCAACAAAGCAACACAATCCATAAATTGAATGAAAAACTGCAAGACTTGAGACAATCAAGTTTACAAAGCACTAAACCAAAACCTTAAGATTGAGCGACACAAACTCCAACAAAGCAACACGAACCATAAATTGAATGAAAAACGGCAACACGAGGAACAATCAAATTTACAAAGCACTAAACCAATACCTTAAAATTGGACGACACAAACTCCAACAGTGCAACACGAACCATAAATTGAATGAAAAACGGCAACACTAGGGACAATCAAGTTTACAAAGCACTAAACCAATACCTTAAAATAAAGCAACACATACTCTAACATAGCAACACACTATAACAAAGCCGGTAGTGTTCCTATTCAACTAATTGCACCCGTCGTGTAAACTATGAATGATTAACCATATTATCCTTAAAAGGTATTATAATAGATTCTCGGTATCAGACTATATATTACGGAAATGGAAAACTGTTATTACATGGAAGCTAAAGTAAAATAAATAATCAAGACATAAACATAACAAAAGATGCTTTTTGTTTGTCTTATTTTCAATTACTTAAGCACAGACGAGACGATCTTAGAACGAACTAATTCAATCTACAGTATTTACTATGGAATCTTAGACGGCCAGTCATTATATAACATCTTACATACGTCTAATTCATTCACTCCCTATCATTAATGTAGACATATTGATTCCCGCCTAATTGTATGTAGAACATAGATCATTTCTGCAGCAGACGGTTCGATCTGCACGTGTTAATGTTATGATATATGCAGCAGACGTTTCGATCAGCTTAAGTGATGACTTAAGTCTTGATTTAGTCTATTTTTTCCAGACATTGTAATGTCTAATTTGTCATGTCAAACATTTTATTGTATTTATTATTCAATAACCACAAATTAAAGCAAAACTTCATCATTTGCGGTATAATTGGGTTAAATATTGTTACGTCAAATTGTATAACACATGATTATGAACTAAAGATTTAATTTAGTTAGTTACAGGAATATGAAGGAAATAAGAATTTGACGAAATTTGAAGATTTCATGATATGAAAAAAGAATAAAAGACAAAAAAATTAAAATTAAATTAAAGATGAATACCAATTTGTAGCAACGTAACTACATACAGGAGGGTCTGGGTGGGAGTCCTTCATTTCTTTATCCTTAAACTCTTTATAACATTTTTCTCTATTCATTATAATTAAGCACCCAATTATTCTATATTTTTTTTTCAACCTGTTTTGCTCTACTCATTATGTTTTTATCATTTATTCCACACTTTTTGAGCATTATTCTCTATGCTGTAAATCTCATCCATACCCTCATACAGGTGACATACATAGTATATGGAATTTTAACCGTCAACGACATTTACATGATTCCGAAATTAAGGGAAAGTTCTTTTCGCATTGAACAAAAGTTCTATGACAGGGTAATAGCTGGTTTTAAATTTTATTAAACATCTCCTCTAACAAAAGAAACTTACTAAGTTTCTGTAGATTTAATATATTCTTTAAAAAATCACCTCACCAAATATTATTCTGTCGCGTTAATTTGTTCATAAAATATGCAGCAATGTTGCATTGAAAGCACATTTATTTAGTTTCTTCTGTTTAGTTTGTATATTTAGTAATACAATAAAATTGTATCATCTGATTTTGTTGTTTGTGATTCTGAATTTTTTGTTTGTTGCTTAGCTTTTGTGGATTAGACTTATCGTTCGATTTTTTTTTCTTTTGGCTTTAGTGTTGTCTGTTCTTTACCGACTTTATGTTTTTGTTTTCTTACAAATTTGTTTAAGATTCTTCTGTTTTGTCTTTGATTTTTGTTTTCCTACAAATTTGTTTAGTTTCTTCTGTTTTGTCTTTGATTTTTGTTTTCCTTCACATTTGTTTAGTTTCTTCTGTTTTGTCTTTGATTTTTGTTTTCCTTCACATTTGTTTAGTTTCTTCTGTTCTGTCTTTCATTTTTGTTTTCCGGCACATTTGTTTAGTTTCTTCTGTTTTGTCTTTCATTTTTGTTTTCCGGCACATTTGTTTAAGATTATTCTGTTTTGTCTATGATGTTTTTTTTCCTTCACTTTTGTTTTATTTCTACTTTTTGTTCATATGAATAATGCATTAAGGCTTACGATATGATTTGTATTTACAGATTCTATTACAAATCGGTACTTGTGCGATGGTCAAACATTACAATACCTCAACAGGAAGGTCAGTTTTGTGTGAATCCGTCAAATGCCAAGGAGGTTTGTATAATTAAGTTTTAGTTAGTTTTTTTAAGCTTACGTAATTCTTTTCAATCTGAACCCATTTGAATTGTTCAAAACAATAAAACAAGTATATGTCTTGTCATCAAGGTGGTCAATAAACGGTTAGCTTGAACAATCTGTATAGGTATAGAAGGAACAGAATATGTGACAAATCGTTTCTTTTACTCGAGCTAATAATCTTATTTTTCATTACTATTTTTAAACATTGCGTCTTGATATTATTAGATATCATTTTTATTCAATATCCAATATTTATTGAACATTAAAAATAGAACTGATCGTGTGCAAAAAGATCTAATAATGACATCTTAATGTATAATTGTTTGTCTGTGGTAAATGATACATAGCTAAAATACTTAGAATGTAGACGATTTGCATGATATTGAAAAAGAAGTCTGTAGATTAATCTTGATGTGGTCATGTCTGAAGGTCTGGGAGGGATTTACAGAATAAAGAAAAATGGGCAAAACAATAATAGATAAAAATAGGCACAAAAATAAAGAAAAGAGAATAATGGAGTGCTAAATTATAAAGAAAAGAGGATAATGGGGAAAAATAAATAAAGAATAGTGAAAAATGGTATAGAAAATTAAAGAATAAAGAAAACGAAGGACAAATGAAAATCAAACTTATTTTTGTTATTTTCTTTTCATAAAAAAAAATCCAATGCTTAAATTACTTAAAATAATGGTTTAGAAGGGTTGGATAAAAAAATGAGTCATAGACAAAGTTTTTTTTAATTTGCATCAGAAAGAGAGGTGGTGTAGGCATTGGTTAATTTTGGTTATCACATTTTATCCCATCCGATAATCATCCGACATGTCATGTAAAGTAACGGGTATTACAAAACGTCAGTTTAATGATTGGATCAACGTCTTTCACACAAAAAAAAGATAAAATGTGATTACAAGTTAAACATATAACATTTAAAATGAAAGGTAACCAAACAGGAATACAAATTATGAAATTGATTTCGCAAATCCTAGTCGAATATAAGCTCATCATACATACCAGAAATTTTGTACGCCAGACTTTCGTCTACAAAAGACTATTCAGTGATGCGCGAGTAAAAAAATAAAGCTAAATAAAGGACGAACTTGAAGGTTATTTGGGACCCAAAATTCCGAAACGTAAATACATTTTATTATGCTCCAATATCAATGTGAAAAAAGTTATACTTGTTTTTTTCAGCACTTGAATTTTGCCAAGTGAACTACACCAGAGATATTTGTAATCCTTGTCCACTAGGCTCGTATATGGTAGATACGATTGACTCAAGATATTTTGAAAATGACCGATCTGTTTTCAAATGTGTTGACAGTATGCATTGGTCTTGTCCACCAGGTAAATTATACACCGAAAGATCGATCTGTTTTCAAATGTGTCGACAGTATGCATTGGTCTTGTCCACCAGGTAAATTAAACAGCAAAAGATCGTTCTGTTGTAAAATGTGTTGACAGTATGCACTGGTCATGTCCTCCAGGTAAATTAAACTCTGTTAGATCGATCTGTTTTCAAATGTGTCGACAGTATGCGTTGGTCTTGTCTCCAGGTAAATTAAACAGCAAAAGATCGATCTGTTGTAAAATGTGTCGACAGTATGCATTGGTCTTGTCCACCAGGTAAATTAAACACAGAAAGATCGATCTGTTTTCAAATGTGTCGACAGTATGCATTGGTCTTGTAATCGAGGTAAATTAAACAGCAAAAGATCGATCTGTTGTAAAATGTGTCGACAGTATGCATTGGTCTTGTCCACCAGGTAAATTAAACACCGAAAGATCTATCTGTTTTCAAATGTGTCGACAGTATGCACTGATCCTGTCCTCTAGGTAAATTAAACACCGATAGATCGATCTGTTTTCAAATGTGTCGACAGTATGCGTTGGTCTTGTCCTTCAGGTAAATTAAACACAGAAAGATCTATCTGTTTTTAAATATGTCGACAGTATGCATTGGTCTTGTCCTCCAGGTGAATTAAACACTGAAAGATCGATCTGTTTTCAAATGTGTCTACATGTTCTATTGGTCTGGCTTTCCAGCTAGGAATGGTCAATATTTTTTCAAATGTGACGACCATTTGCATTGGCTTATTTTCCATTTAGGTAGAACACAAAACGTTCTATCCGTTTTAGAATATGTCAACGTATGATGGTAAAAAACTGGGTTTTCCCCCAACTTAACCTACGGTAAGCATTGATATTATCCTCAAGGTATGTAGAACATTAAATGAGCAATCTGTTTTCAAATGTCAACAATTTGTTTTGTTCTAGTTTTCCAGCTAGGTAAAAGCCTGAAAGGTTGATCTGTGCTCAAATCCATCGTGGATTGCATTGGTCTTGCCCTCTAGGTAGGTAGAAACAATGAATGCTTTGTCTGTTTTCAGATGTGTCGAAAGTATTATTGATCTTGCTTCTATGTGATATCGTCAGGCAGTTGCCTTTTTTTTTGTCGTCCGTGGTGAAACAAAGACAAAAAGATAGTACTCATGAAATTTAGCCAGTGACAAACTGAGATCAAGCAAACCACATGTTGGTAGTAAAAATGTACTATGATATATGTGAGAAAATTCAGAAAAACATGTTACAAATCTTGTTCAAACCGAAGCATTAACTATTTACCTGATCATACTCTCGAGGACTAACAGTCTTCCAGCCGTGGTGTCGAACTAGTTCTAGTATAAAATGAGAGGCGAAAGATACAAGAGGAAAACTCAAACTCATAAGTCGAAAATAAACTGACAACGCCATGGCTAAAAAGAAAAAAAAACATCATACAAACAATAGTACACAACACAACATAGAAAACTAAAGACTGAGCAACACGAACCCCACCAAAAACTGGGGGTGATCTCAGATGCTCCGGAAGGGTATGCAGATCCTGCTCCACATGTGAATGATGCATTAGCAAAATACGACAAGACAGACAACAAACACACACCTTGATCACTTAGCAAGACAAACCCAACTCAAGCCTGATGTTTTACTCATTTGCTGCGGACGGATGAGCAGAAACTGATCTTTATAAAAGTACGTTATGTTATACCATGTAGCTATTGGTCTTATTTACTTACTTCTAGAGGCAGAGATGGTTTATGGGAAAATAACAGATACCCATCAGCCACCATGTGAATGTGACAGGTCAAGAGGATATTATGGGTCAAACTTTTATAATTGTGAATTAGTAGAGGAACCATGTGGAAAAGGATTAGAATTATCTATTCGTGGTAAGTAGCATTACTAGTCTCTTATATGATATATGGTTAAGCAAACAGCAATCAATCAATATATGATTTACTACTGACACCCAGTGGAATTGCACAAGCCATATTCCAATTGATCTTTTGAATTTCTTTTTGTTCGTTACCTAATTTGTCTGTTCTAATTGATTTACGAGATTTGAACATCGGGTAAACTTCTGCCGCCTTATTTTTTTATACCTTGTTATCTTCCCATACATCTTTTTGCTATATGTGAGTTATCTCCCTTATGTTTGTTATATCAACCTAATAGTATTTGTAATTATCATATAATAAATGTCATCAAGTACTTTTTATCAATCTTTTCTATTAAACTTTGAAGTATTGTATATTGTCCCATGTGTACAAAAAATGTAAGTTTGAAAATTTGAAAATAACAGTGTAGCAAGTGAAGGAATAATCTTAATATTTGTATTTGACTCAACGGTGTTCTAACTTTGTATTTTGTTGTATGCGAAAATCTTTTAAAACATTTGAGAATCCAAAACGTATTTGGTGTTGACACGTAGTGATTGGTAAACAATGTTCTACAAAAATATCTGACCAATGGATTAGCGTTATTTTCATTTTGAAGAAAGAACAACGCAAGTACTCATAAACATTTAGATTTTAAACCCGGGTTTTGAATAAAACATTACTTACGAATGTAAATCCTTATAACATTTTAAATCAGTAATAAGTTTGTTACAGTAAATTTTCTAAGCTTTTAAGCATTCATGTGAAACAGAATCAAAATACGATCTGCGTTACTTAGAATTAAGACTTTATTATCAAAATATTTGACAAAACGTGCCAGTGGTTTTTATGGTTATGTGACTTAATTTTGATCCATCCCCTTAATTTATGAAAATTATTTATATTTTGTATATGTTCAGTGGTTCATCGTAATTTTTTGTTGTTATCCTGGTATCTATGATGAGTTTATTATTATTTATATTTTGTATATGTTCAGTTGTTTATCGTAATATTTTGTAATCCTGATATCTATGATGAGTTTATTATTATTTATAGGAAACTGTGTGCCTTGTCCATATGGTACTTTCAAAAGAACTAAAAGCTTTGAGCTTTGTATCAAGAAAACAAAGTAAGTTTAAATATGTTGAAGTTAAAATAACATTTTGTAAATTTGTTGCTTCCAAAAAGTAGTTCTGGATTTACCTACACAAGAAACGCCTCAACAGAAAACTAAATTGAAAGCCCGGAACGTTTAAATACTTCTGAAGATATATATCCAAGCGGGCATTAAAAGATAACAAAACACATCCAAAGTCAGTTTTACCTGCGGAAGTTAGAACATAAAAGAAGCAGAAGATATAGCATTATAATGTCTTTCTTTAAACAGTTTTGAATTTAAGGTGATACATAACACCTTGACTAAAATTGATTTGGCATGTTTGATTTCATTAAATTTTGACAAAATATCTACTTTGACCCTTTAACAAAAATTTTAAGAAAAAAACTTGAACCACACACTTTATGTGAAAAATTCCATTGGTTATATAGCAGTTTGACAAACACTAATTTTGATCATTGAGAAGTTAAATATTTCCTTAACAATAGAACGTGATAACAACGTTCAGCTGATTTTTACAGAGTTATGTAGTGTTATGTACCACCTTAAACGGTATGCGTTAAAAATTTAAGTGTTGAAATTATGAAAAATAAATTATTTTGTAAATGTTTTGTCCTTCATGATATGATATTTTGTATATTTGCAGCTGTACATCGTTCAACAGATACACAATAAGCCACGGAAGTACTTATTCAGATGCAATTTGTGGGCCTTTAATGCACATTACAGCTTCAACTGAAAAGGGTCATAAACATTATTCAAACAATGACTTTGAAAAGTCTACAATTGATGTGCATTCAATCCCTTACCAGTCCAAAACTAGTGATGAAATATCAAATATTTTTACAAAAAGAAATATTTTTCTTATTATGTAAGTCTATATTAACGTTTGAATGAGGTCATATATCCCCAATGCACAAATGGCAACGGCTAGTTCACATCCTAAGTAATTGCTCAAGGTGAATTTATTCTAAAATAGAGGCGAAGAGATATTCAACCTCATAAGTCGAAAACGAAAAAAAACTGACAATGCCATGACAAAAAGCGAAAAACGACCAATTTTTTATATTTTGGTAACAAAACATCATACATTTGCCCTGCTATTAGTTGTTAAACGTATTAAATATGAAAATGTAATGTACCTGGTACATAATTCATTGGGAGGAAACGAGAACAGCAGAATGATTTTAGGTATTTAGCTAACGCTCAGTGTAAAATATCGACAAATATAATGCCTACCCATGTTAAAATGAGCATAGAACATGACATGAAGGAATTATTTCTTAATTGAACATGATAGAAACATGAGAAGAACTTATGTAAAAATTGATTGCAAACATTTTATATGTCTCTGATAGTAATGACAATCAGAGGCTGGAGATACCAAAAGGGTTTATCAAAACTCAGAAATCGACAAAACAATAGCTAATATGAAAAACGACGAAAGAAAAACCAAAACATCGTATGGAAAATTAACAACCGAGCATCATGAATCCCACCAAAAATTGGATGTGCCTCAGGTAATTAAACTATGTGTCCATTCGAACAGTATCTCATGTGTACAAAAAAAAATAACAAAAGCCATTAAAAAACCACAAGTCGGAGAACGACGGAAGGACAGAAAGCGTCTTTGGCACACACACAAAAAAACCAGAAAGACAAACTCCATTCCACAAAACACTTCACAGAAAAATTAAGAATTGGGTAATATGAATTTTACCAAAACATGGACTGAATTCAAGTGCTCGGAAATGGTCCAGCCTCGTGCAAATGTCTTTCAAAAGATACAAAGCTAATGGTTAAGATAGTTATCGCCAACTTTACCTTGTGGAAATTTAATGCAGTTCTTTTCTTTTATAATCCTTAACTCATTTTCAATTACTAGGTTGAATCTTATCTATAGTGTTTTGTCTTTTCGTCGTTTTTCGTATTTTGCATTGACCTTGCAAGTTTCCTTTGACTTATGAGTTCTGAATGTCTCCTTGGTATCTTCCTCGGTGTGTTGACTATATATATATATATATATAATACCATCTTATATTAGTATCGTTGTGCAAATCTCTAGACTTATATATATATATATATATATATATATATATATATATATATATATATATATAAGGAAGTGTGGTATAATTACCAATAAGACAACTCACCAGAGTTCAAAAAACGAAGATATAAGCAATTATATATCACCTTATATATGACCTTCAATATTTAAACAAGCCCATACCAGGAAGTAAACTATTAAAGGCCCCGACATGAAAAATGTAAACAAATTTTAAAAAAGAAAAGTAACGGTCTAAATTCTAACAATACACTTCCCAAAAACCAAATATGCCAACCATGAGACAGCGACAACCACTGAATCACAGGCTCATGACTTGGGACAGAAACGTTAAAAATGTAGCGGGTTAACATTTTTTTTGTAAGCCCTGGCCTTCTCCCTAACTGGGTCAGTGATGTTACAGCTCGACATTAGAAAACTGTAAAAATCAGTTGTACTTGGCAGAACCCAATAGATCGGTACGAAGCATAAAAGCAACAAACATAAAAACAATGGACACAAATCATCGATATAGTACTCGCAGTTACTGAAAGTTAGTTCAAAGCTTACTACAACTATTAAATGAATCATGTTCTCGCAGACTAACAATGTTAGTTGTACTGTATAACTTGGTACTGTAAACATCTTAAAGTTAGTCAAAATGGTAGTTGTGATATATTATCCCATCATACTGATATACGTTTATGAAAGAGGAAGCAGAATAAAAAAAACGTAGCTTTAACTGAAAGATGAACAAGACATCTACGTCATTTGGTCACTTGTGGGTAGTTATCTCATTGGCAACAATACCACGTCTTCTTATTTTTACATTACTTGTGCTAAATATTTAGTAGTGCGAATTCAATTTGTCAGTATTTGTGCACATCAACAACATTAGCAGTGTGATTTGTGTGCTCTCCGTGCGCATTTCAATAACTGTGTATCTCTTTAGCGATGCCAAATGCAAAATTATATAGAAACTTCATACAAAAATTGAAGAGCTGATTAAACAAAAAGGATCAAAATTAAGACAAGGAATCAGAGTTTTGCACTCGGTTGAAACATTCCTTAATTTGAAATTAATCACAGCAAATTTCAATAAAACAATAGCCGTATTTCATGTCCTTACTTAAGTTATGTTTGAAGTTTCCGAAAAGTACAACAAAAATAGCAAACTCCAAGGCAAAATTCAAAAAGGGGAAGTCCTAAAAAAAATGACAAAATCAAATGTTATCAACCGACGGAACGAGATCAAACCAAAGGTAAAATCGAGCATATTGTTAAAAGTTTCCATTTTGCTATCGTTATTGCCTAGTATCGTATAAACTGCAATTACCTGCAAAGAATATTCCCAACGATATCAAACTTTGATTTTATCTCTCCGCCCTTTATTACATACGCAAAATATGTAAAATTAACTGTTTTGTTTAATAAAAGAGAGATAGAAGACACCAAAGGGATAGTCAAACTCAGAAGTCAAAAACGAACTGACAATACTACGACAAAAAACGAAAACGATCAAAAGACAAACAACATACAAAACACAACAAGGAAAAACTTAAGACTGCAAAAATAAACCCCACCAATACGCGAGGGTGATCGCAAGTAGATGTGTCATAAACGAATGGAAAGAAAAGAAGCGTAGAATTAAAAACATTTTCATATAGACTATTTGTATAGCGTTTTGAATAATATAACTTGTTTTAGTTCAATATATCTGTTTGTCTTATCTTTAGTATCATTATTCCTGCTGTGATATTAGTTATTGTTGGACCCATAGCGATAGGATTTTGTATCAAGAACAAATATTCTGTCCACATTAAATGTTGCATGGGTGAGTAGACTATTATTTTTACAAGTGAAATAACACCTGAATGTCGTAAACGTACTTTATTTGGCCTTTTTAACTTTTCTTTATTCGAGCGTCACTGATGAGTCTTTTGTAGACGAAACGCGCGTCTGGCGCAAATACAAAATTTCAATCCTGGTATCTATGATGGGTTTATATACAGCCAATATAAGATACTCCATATATAAAGAAGTTATAAAACTTAGAATAGATACAGATATTGAATTATTGTCAAAGCCAATATGGCCATATCTTATCGTATCTCCAATTGCCTATTATTGAAAGAAAGTTAGCATCTGGTATCTTGTGCTTTATGGTTCATCATATTGCAGATCATTGAAGTTTTCCCTTTCCTGTGATATTAAGAAGTTGCCTAATAGACATCTGGTTTTGACATTAAATGTTATATATGAGTACATATCCCCTGTAAAAGCCTGAATATCAATAATACATTATATTAGCGTGTCCTAGTTTCAACATCAATTACCCATATGATCTTCGTTTTTGACCACATGGTGCCTGTCAAGGTTACCAATCAGATTGCAGGATTAGCCTGGATATTTCACTTCAGTATGATATAAACATATATATATATGTATATATGTGATAAAGATTTCAATCTGTACGACACGAGTTCCCGAACATATCTATCCGATATGCTGAAGAGCATCAAAACCATCAGAAAGAAAAGTGTCTAGAAAGAAGTGTCATAACAATTAAGTCAAGCTAGCCTTTATGGACTAGCAAACTTACTTTTAATGCAATTACATATTTATTCTAAACAAAAATACTGTGGATTCATTACTATTCGTTGGATACCATTTTTTGGTGGATTTCGAAGGTGCAGGGAAACCACGAATTGAATTATTCAACGAATTACAAATTTGCTTTATGAATATATGCAGACTTTTGGAAATCCACGAAATCAAATATCCACGGAAGTGCAAGTTTTCCTCAATCCACGAAAATTGGTACCGACAAGAATAAAAGAATCCACAGTAGAGTCAATATTCTAATATCAGATAACGGGTTATTACATATCATGTCGGCCATGTCGTTGATATTATTTTGACAATATTTTAGCTCCTCCGGCTTTTTTTGTTATTTAATTGCATATGAACATCAGAAACTTATGAAAAATGCTCAAGACCCCACAGTTTCATTACAACTACATTCATACAAAATGTGGTTAAATCCTTTTCATTTCTTTTTTTACAATGCAACCATCTCTTTACATTATACATGAAATATTGAGAGAATGACTATCTGCTACTAGTATCTATATGCACATTCCTCTAAAACAAGCATACTGGTAAAGTTTGGCGACTTTAAGTATAGTAAATTAACGGCAAAAGTAGTGAACTTATGGTCAAATTTTCTAAATCAATTTCGAAGAAACAAGTCAAGTTAAAAAGAAAGCCCGAAGGAATTGTCTGAGCTTCAAAGAGGCGAGACCGGATATGTTGACAGGGAAAGCTTCTCCTAAAGTTTTCATTACCAACGTGCGGATCTACACTCAGTCAGAATGTCACACCCAATCGGTAAAACACATATAATTTATTTTTATTATTCATTAAATTTGTGAATATTTATGACAGATATGTTGAAAAGATCACGCAAATTATCTGTCTAACACATATACACAAAAGTAAACTAAAAGCTAAACATGTTGGCCATTCGACATGCAAGGCCACACCTGTATGTTTTTATTGTTGTAGGATAAAATGGCGTTTAACTTTTTGACGTTTGTAGTTAATTGTGTTTATATGTGTCTTTCATGACGGACTGGGAGATTTTCAAAAATTGTTTGGATGCAAAAAAAAAAATAAAATAAAATTCAGTCTGGCATAAGAGATGACAAGTGAATCTTGTAAGTCATTTTCTTATAGTTGTTCCGTGGAAGGTATTCAACGGTATGCAATTTAACAAATGTCAGAGGAACAACATTAAACTGTTGTTTCCTGCATAGGATAATGAAATAATAAATAAAGGCTGACATAAATAATTAATATTTTCCAGAAATCAATAGAAAGAGTGACAGATCTAGTAGAAAAACATACGAGATTCCTCTCAAAGACCAGGAGAAAGGTTAGTTATCTATTTCTCTATCAAATTAAACCCGGCTGATTGATATAATGGTCAGTATGGAGCAATTACTATAGACTGTGGTCAGTAAGGAAGCAATTACAACAGACTTGTACTTAATTGACTTTGTTGACCGCTTTCAATCTTCCGTCGATATCGTTTGGGTCATTGATCTGTTTGTGTATACAATAAGTTTATGAATTCCACGTAAAGAAATAATATTTATTTTTATCTTATTGGACATATTTACAATTTTTATACGAATAATAGAAAGTTTTTCAACGATCATTGTTTATGATAGAAAAAGATGCAAAAATGCCCTATATGAATAAAGTAATTTTAAAACAGTAGCGGAGTGAAAGATAACATTGATTTAACATATCAAGCATTTTTCAATACATCTTTGTGTTTCATTGGGGGGGATTGAGTGTTCCTTTGAAGGTAATTCTAGAAAAACGCTTTTGACACAGTATTTTTATATTTCTTGCTAAAAATTACATTTGAAAATGAACACTGCCTGCAGGATTCACACATTATCATTGAGGGGGCACATGTTGAAGTATAAGACAATTGTAACAGTATTATAGGATAAAGCTCCTGTTTAAACATTCCGAAAGCTTGCCATGTTCGGATTCCCTGTGTTTTCTCTCTCAGTAACATCGACGAGTCACCACTACCTGATCATTAAGATGTGATAGATTAAAGTTAGAATGTCGTAATGGTAATGACGTCATAATAATAATGTTAAGTCACAATAATACGTCGTCATACTTTTGTTTTCTTAGAATGAAGGTATTAAAGGAACTCTAAAATCAATTAATTCACAGGGAAACATTTGATAACGTCATATTTTTGGAGCTCATGAACTTCGAAAGATTATGTCGTCAAAACATGCGATTCAATGTTACGAGAATAAGTTATCTTTAATGTTAACAAAAAAATTAAACCCACGACGGACATTTTTTTTTCCTAAAATAAAGTCAAATGTATTCCTTTAGCCTGTACTAAACAAAGTCTTTCAATTTAATTTGAAGAAAGTTTGTTTAACAAATTGCAAGATGAACCCGAATAAAATATTACAGCATTCAACCAAAATATGTCTTCATTTATCATAAAAAGTTATCTAATTATACACACGCAACCGTCACTTCTAATGACAGCCGTAATACATTCATAGACATATAGTGGTAACTGGTTAAAATTGGGAAAATCTAAGAACTAGTTTGAATGCAGTCATTCTATAAATGAAAACAAAACCTTAAAGATTGATTGACACTTGTCTTTTGGTTTTTAATGTATTACCTTTACATATAATAAAGTAGATAATTACTTACGAAAACCTATATGATTGACTGACCTTCGGTCCAGGTTTTTCATTGATTACCAATTATCATATTATACTAGTGAAGACGAAAAACAGTTTACGACTTACTGTTGACATCATTAAACAGGAGCATGTCCGTTTATGTTGGTCATTCCTTTTAATACTAAACAAAGAAATAGTTCTTTTAATCACTTTTGTTTTTGCTTAAATGGTAAATACTGATGTAAAAAAAAACAAATAAACTCATCACACATACCAAAATAAGTTCCAGATGATCCAGAAAAATCAATGAAACATTCATGTTGACACTAAAGGAGAGGCTGTCTATAAAAACAAGTTATAATCATATATATACAAGGACAGTCTGTGTGTATATGAACTAGTTTACGTCCAAACATACTATATAGTTGCGACTGGTAATTAGTTCTTCGGAAAATGCCTGTACCAAGTCAGCAATATGACAGTTGTTTTTCAATCGTTCTGGTGGTTGATAACGTATGATTGTGTCTGTTTTTATTGACTTCACCCTTTAATTTACCTTGGAGTTCGACATTTTATTTCTACTTATATACTTTATATATATATAAAGTTACAACTAAAAAAATCTTGAAAACTATTTAGGATATCATCATTTTATCATTAAGGAGAAAACCTTGCCGATTTTGATTTCGGTTCCTTAATTGATTATTTCATATAATATATATATATATCAAAGTAAAATATTACTTACTAGTATTTATCACTGCCAAGAATATCTTGTAATAACCCAGCTTCAGAATATTTAAAGAATTACTAGAAGGATAAGAAGTATTATCCAAAACAAACAATTATGTATATCCTTAATGAGGGTGTGGATGGGGTTTACAGAATAGAGAATAATGAGAGAGAAAAAATAAAGAATAGAGAAATATGGGCAAAAAAATAAAAAATAGTGAAAAATGGTCAAAAAAAATAAAGAACAGAGAATAATGGAGTGCTAAAATATAAAGAATAACTGCAAAAATTAAAGAATTGAGTAAAAAATATACTAATTACAGAAAAGAACAATGTAAATAAAGGCAACAGTAGTATACCGCTGTTCGAAATTCATAAATCGATTGAGAAAAAAACAAATCCGGGTTACAAACTAAAACTGAGTGAAACACATCAAATATAAGAGGAGAACTACGACACAACAGAAACACAACATTAAAATGTAAAACACACAGAAACGAACTATAATATAACAATGGCCATTTTCCTGACTTGGTACAGGACATTTTAAGACAAAAAAATGGTAGGTTAAACCTGGTTTTGTGGCTAGCCAAACCTAAAGTTATCAATTAATTACAAAATAGCTATTATTTTTAAAGATAAAGAATAATACGCGAAAAAATTAAAGAATACAGAAATAAAGGACACCCATCCATACCCTCCTAAATGCACTTTGTATTGATTTTCAGGAAGTGTAGGAAGTGGATGCACTGTAGACCCTCAACCACTCAATGCAGATATTCAAATGGACAGTGGACATGATGGTCAAGAGGAAAGTGACATTACTAGAATAACTGTTCATGTTCACAGTAAAAATGATACTCAGCTATTTAGTGAAGATAACAGAAATTCAGAGAATTTACTGTAAAAAATCGTGACAATGAAAATGTTATTTAAGGAGTGAATATAAGGATTCGTATGATTTCAATAAGATTAAAATATAGATCAAGTGTTCATACTTTCTTACAAGGATCTGACAACACTCCGTTTTACTTTCTGTTTGATAGTTATTACATCAGCCAATGACATTTTAGCTTTTAAATTTTTAAAGGTGCGGTTTAATCCGAATAAACCAGAGGATCCTAAAATGTTTTAAAAAACAGAAAATAGAATGGAGAGTTGTAAGCTTGGCTTGGACACATGATCTGTATTACTGTAAATTCAGAAATTATTGCGATGTTTTTATTTTTGCGAATAATGCGACTGGGTAAACATCGCAATAATAAGAACTCGCATTCTGATATTTGACAGATATATCTGCATGCAGCTTTTCCACAAATCGCAATAATCAATCTCGCAATTTGTTAATTCTGCATAAATCGCAAAAATAAATGCACGCAATAATTTCTAAATTTATAGTAATCAAATTGAGTATGATTTATAACGGCAAATTATTTTATGTCTTTAAGGTTGGAAGTCAGCTGAACGTTGTGAAATTACAAATGCAATAGGTGATATTTGTTATGCTTTGTTTGTAAATCATATGAAAACATTTGGGATTGCTCCCACTAAGCATGCATAAAATATTAATGCAATGACTATAAACCAATTGTATATTTGTGTTTTATTGATGTTTGAATTCGAGTAGAAGGTGCCAGGAATAACAACTCATTACCTCTTTTTATTGTGCCTGTTACATCGACAACTTCAGAAGTGGTTGTTAATTTATCTATATTTGTCTAGTATATTGTAATACATTGCTATCATTAAAAATTAGAAATAAAATATAAGCTGGTGATTTGTTAACTGTAATTATCGGATATACTTGGCATTCACTAACCGTATATCGCCTTGTTTATGAAGTTAACAATGTGTTTCCATAAAGTTTTATTTTTATGACGTCAATACAGAATGCAGGTTCGCGGAATTTTCACGTCGTCCGCTTCAAATTAAAAAATCATGATTTTAACCCAAATATTTCATTTGGAATTGTTGTAAGAATTGCAGTATCTAAAGAATAACCATACATTGTCTCGTTATATAACTTTTATTTCCACTCTGCATAAAAAAAGATTAATACATGTTCTTTGCCTCATGTAAAAACAATTTGTCGGAAGTATATGATAAAAAGATTTATACATGTCCTTTTCCATATCGGCCCGGATATCATCATTGGACCCATATAATGCCCGGGCCGATATGAAAAAGGCCATGTACAATGTATCAATCTGTATATATCAATAAAATACTATTATATCATATCATATCATACTTTCAATAGTTATCAAAGGTACCTGGCTTATAATTTAATACGCCAGACGCGCGTTTCGTCTACATAAGACTCATCAGTGACGCTCAGATCAAAACAGTTAGAAAGCCAAACAAGTACAAAGTTGAAGAGCATTGATGACCCAAAATTCCAAAAAGTTGTGCCAAATACGGCTAAGGTTATCTATGCCTGGGATAAGAAAATCAAGCTGTCTGTGCAATTGCTAATTTATGTCAATTACTTTCCTTTTAATATATTGGCTCATTAAGAACGGAGAATAAGTTTAAAGTTTGCTTGAACACTTCCATGGCTACTATTGTAGCCTTTCATAGCTGCAGTAAACACATTATTAATCAGGGTTTTTTTTACAGCAAATGGGTCAATGCCACTGCGGGTGGACGTTTTATCCTGATGATTATACCAAGTAATTCTCGGATTATAGCCATTCATTTTATCAAATGAAAGCAAGAGTTCATAAATTTGGGTCCAAAACGCTTTTTTGGATTTACCATAATCCGGAACTCTGAAATCCGAAAATTTGAAAGAGAAGAATTTATAAATACTTCAGTGCATGCATGGGAAGCTAAATATCCACTTTACTAGCATGTCAAATTTGCCGGAGGGAATTGCAACATTAGTTTCTTAATAATAATTAATTCTATCAATAGAGAATTTTAAAAAGTGTGAGTTTTCAATCATATCTCAGTGCCGAAGCACTAACTACTAAGCTGATGATACCTTGCAGTACGACCCAGTGATAGAAAATGAAAATAACACTATAAAAATCTAATTTGTCTGAACGCTTAAATTAATACATTAAAAGGTTTCAAGAAAAGACCTGTTAAAATACGTTATCTGATGTTGAATTATGTTATATGGTAAAGACAATCTCTACATTCATATAGACAAAAAAGTCAGAAGATCACCCGTGCATCATTTTCAATCAAATAGAAAGTGGTTTCCAAAACCATCGGTCGTATGATACAAGTAGTCTGCCAGCAGTGGCAGTAAATCAGAGGGGCCATTACACATATCTAAGCCACAGAAATACCGATAACACTTTGACCAAAACAAAAACAAAAACAGACAAGAATACCACCAACGGTCAACAATTCACTACAGAGAACCACACAAAATAGCAATGCGAACGAACTTGTTATTTACGAATCAGCATTTCTTGTTCCATTAGTGACTCCCGTAAAAACACGTAGAAAACTAGACACCATCAGCTAACCTTAAAGTATTGATGTTTATGATATACATATTTGAAAGAAATGCTAATACTAATTTCTACCGAAGGAACAGATTACCGGAACTGTATATGGCAAAATCGTTTTGTTAATTTTGTTTCCTCAGTGCTCTTCAATTTCATACTATTTGATTTCTTGATTATTTTTCATTCGTGTCACTTATGAGTCTTTTGTAGAAGAAACGAGCGTCTGGCTTACCGAATTATGAGCCTGGTATCGTTGAGTTTTTACAAGCTTTAAATTCATTTGGGTGACGGCAACTTGAAATCTATTAACAAAAAACATGGCAGGACAGTTCCATTTGCACTCACACTGAAATAAGCTTTTGCACAAGTTGAAAGAATGTAATCACTCAATGATCTACCTGCTTATAAATGAGCAACAAAGACACTAATTCTAATTTCAAGTGCATCACAAGATAATCGAATTTTACTCATATACTAATAAATACCAATGTCATCTGCATCCCAACCATACCAATTGCACGTGCATACCAAGATACTAATGCCATGTGCACCCCAATAGATACCGTTTCAAGTACATCTCTACAGATATCAATTTCCTGTGCATCTCAACAGATTCCAATTTCCTGAACATCTCAACAAATATCAATGCAATGTACATCTCAATAGATACCAATTTCATGTGCATCTAAACAGATACCAATTTCCTCTGCATCCCTAAAGACACAAAATATACGTGCATCACAACATACCTACTTTTAGTGCATCTCAACAGATACAAAATACATACACGTACAACGCAACAGATATCAATTTCATGGGAATCTCAACAGGTACTAATTCAATGTGGATCTCAACAGATTCCAATTTCATGTGCATCTCAACAGATACCAATGTGCATCTCAACATTACATAAGAGAGGGTAAAGATAGCAAAGGGACATTCCAACAAATTTCAATAGATTGCGCTTCTCACAAATACCAACTACATGTGCATCTCAACAGATACCAATTTTACATGTATCTCATCAGATAAAATTGAGAATGGAAATGGGGAATATGTCAAAGACACAACAACCCGACCAAAGAGCAGATAACAGCAACCAATGGGTCTTCAACGCAGCGAGAAATTCTCGTACCCGGAGGTGGTCCTCAGCTGGCACCTAAATAAAATTGTGTACTGGGTCAGTGAAAATGGACGTCACACTAAACATATAAAGGAACTGAAATTAAAAAAAACATACAAGACAAACAAAGGCCAGAGGCTCCTGACTTGGGACAAGTGCAAAAATGCGGCGGGGTTAAACATGTTTTGTGAGATCTCAACCCTCCCCCTATACCTCTAGCCAATGTAGAATAAAGAAACACATAGTAATACGCACAGTAAAACTCAGTTTAAAAGAAGTCCGAGTGTGATGTCAGAATAGGTAACAAAAGAAACTAAGCAAAATGACAATGACACATAAATTAACAAAGGACTACTAGCAGTTACTGACATGCCAGCTCCAGACCTCAATTAAACTGATTGAAAGATTATGTCTTCATCATATGAAAATCAGGTACAATCCCTCCCGTTAGTTTAGCATCATACCATCATAAAATATATGAGAACAACATAACCCGTATCATGCCAACAACTGGTTTTAGAATAAATGTGTTTATTTCCGATGCAAAGACCTTATGAGTGAATCAATATTAATACCAAAATTTGCAATCCTTAATGACCTGACAACAGTATCGTAACTATATCCCTTCCGAAATAGTCAGTTTAAAGGTTTGGTTAGCTTTTGAGGTATATACCGATTTGAAGCGCATCTCAACAGATATACATTTTACGTTCATCCCAAAAGGAGCCAACTTCCTGTGCATTCCAACAGAAACCGATTTATGTTCATCACAAAATATACAAATTTCACATGCATTCCAACTTCCATATTTGAGGACCCTTGTTTTGTTTCAGGTTCCAACACTTGGAAGAGACCATATTTTCACACAGATGTGCTGCACTTTTAAAAGAGAGGCGAAAGATACCAAAGGGACAATCAAATTCGAAAATTAACTGACAACCCCATGGCTAAAAAGAAAAAGACAAACAGACAAACAACAGTACACAAACCACAACATAGAAAACTAAAGACCCCAACAAAATCGGGGGTGATCTCAGGTGCTCTGGAAGGGTATGTAATGCTACACAAAAAAACAGTAAAATCTTAACATTTTATTGTATACTACAGAATATGTAAGTTATTTCTCTGATTATCCAACTATTATATGTAACAACTAACAATAAATGCCATAACAAAATTAACAATAGAAATACTGAAAAATCATTATTATTCATCGGATACTAATATTCCTGCATTTCTTGGGTTGAGGTCAACCATGATGTGCATGTTCAACAAAATACAAATTTTCTAGGCTTGTACTCATATTATAGTTCAACCATGAGATCCAAATATCCACAAAATACAAATTTTCCTCAACCAATGAAAATTTTGCACCCACAAATATTAATGAATTCACAGTATTCATATTCACAATCATTTCAAAACATAACATACTATAATTAACAAATACGGACATCTTGCTAAGTTAAAATCAAAAAGTATAAAATTTGATTCTAAAGTAACAAAAATAATTTCCACTGACCCATAACAATAAATTACAACATAATATAAATGCAATAACAAACAAATATGATATTCTATATCACTATCATTTTAACATGCAGAGTTTACAAATAAAAACAATATTAAAAATTTTATTAATATTAATGGGCAGTAAAATTGGTGCCTTATATTTATTGAATGTTTGTACGTTTTTTACAGGAAATAAATAATAATATCATTGATCAATGGGATCATAAATATTGTTTGTTCGCTGCCTCAATCAATGACACCATTCTTTATTTCTTTAGTATAAATTATTATTTGATTTATATTCCTGAATGAAGAATTTTATAAAAAGTAGGAACCAAATATGTTATACTGTGGATTCATTATTATTCGTTGGATACCAATTTTCGTGGATTTCGTGGGTACAGGTAAACCACGAATGTAAATGTTCAACAAATAGCAAATTCCATATAGGCTTAATTGTATGGAGACTAAAAGAAAACCACAAAATTAAATATCCCTATATGTAAGTTTCCTTATTCAACGAAAATTGGTACTCATGATAATAAATGAATCCACAGTAATATGTTCAATAAATAAATCAGTGTTAGTGTTCTCACTAAAGATTGCCTGCAATTACTCTATTTCACTATGATTCCTTTTGCAGTATTAATGGCGATATCTAACAGAATCATCTTTTGCATATTATTATAACAGTATACCAGTATTTGAACAAAATTCCATAAATATCCCTGATTGTAAAATCTCATAAAGATAGCCCTCGCAATTTTTTAAGGCTATTCCAGAAAAAAAATATTAGGGGAACTCCACTCTCCTTTTGATTTACTACCAATAGAATTTTTTTCTGTAAAGCATACTCTCTGTGGAACTGATGAAATACCCAAACACCCAATTTATGTTACACAAATAAAGTGCTGGCCCTCTAATGTATTTATTTCTTGAAAAGGCCTTATTCAGATAAAAAATGCTAGAAGTTTCAATTTTCCAATTATATATAAAAACAAATCACTCAAATATAAATAACAAATTATTTCAAATAAAAAATATAGAAATCATAACAAATGCCATATAATTATCAGAGTAAAAAAAAAACTAATGTGATAAAAAGTAAATTCACTAAAATACTGAACTCCGAGGAAAATTCAAAAGGGAAAGTCCATAATCAAACGGCAAAACCAAAAGATCAAACACATCAAACGAATGGACAACAACTGTCATATTCCTGACTTGTCTAAAAATATAATACATGTATCATTCATGATCCTAAAATATCTCCATTCAAATACTGTAAATTCAGAAGTTATTGTGAGGTTTTTATCAATTTGAATAATGTGACTGGGTAAGTATCGCAATTATAAAAACTTGCATTCTGATATCTGATACATATCTTTGTATAATGTAGCTTTTCCTGAAATTGCAATAATTAATCTAGCATTTTGTCCATTCTTCAAAAATCGTAAAAATAAATGCTTGCAATAATTTCTGAATTTACAGTAACTAGAATCTGTTTGTTTCATACTACAGTACAAAGCAGCAACAATACTTTGAAACTTTTCTGGTATGACAAACTCAAATTTTACCTTTAAAAAATTGCTAATATCTTACAAGAAAACGAGTAGGCCCAGTAAGACCCCTTTTTGGCCCTTAAATATAGCACTTTTACAAATTTGTAAAAAATGTAAACTTTTTAGTTTTTGCTATTTATTGGAAAGTAGAAAACTTTTTTTACATAAATATGGGCTGTTTTTCTACATTATAATGCACATGCATCAGGTACTAGCATCATTAATTCATGCAAAATTTTCGCAATTCTAGCATTTGTGCTAATCCTAAAATGGAAGTGGCTGCATTGTGTTCAGTCTTAATATTAAAATATATGTTGTATTTGATGATAACACATAACATATATAATGGTTGTTACTGAACACGAATGCAGCCAGTTTACATTTTAGACAAAAACCATCTGAAAAGTGACTTTTTATGGCATATTTGATAGATATTTAAGCTTGAATTTGAGCATATCTAATAATCAAATCAGTTCATATCTTTTACATAAACTAATTGAATCGACTGAAGTACCAGTAGACACTTAAGTGTTTAAAAAAGATCGAAAATATTTCATCAGATGTACTTCAAATTTTAGGCCAGAATTAGCCCTTACCTGACCTTCTCCTTTAAGATCAAGTTTAGATGTGAATACATGTATTTGATTCTATATCTGCTTCTTAATCGAAATTTTAGCATTAGCGAAAAAGTTAATAGTGTGCCAGGAGTTTTTTTTCAACTTATTGATGGATAAACTTTGCGCTCGGAAGTTTAATTCTCCTGTTGAATGATAACAGAGTCATTTGCATCATTATTGTTGATTTGTAAATCTATTCACACGGAATAGTTTCTTGCATTTTACAATATGGCAAAAAAAAAGCAAAAATAACCCTTGCAGGAAAATTTCCATGTTTGAAGTATACAAATTTAAGTTTACACAGAACTAATAAAACTTTGATTGTTCGATATCACTGATACAGATTATTCAAATTGATTGTTTATTACCTTTATTCATATTTCATTTGAAAAAAAAATCCTGAAATTCCTGAGATTTTATCAATTAATTAATTAATAGTCTTCTCCTCTTATATTTGATGTGTTTCCCTCAGTTTTAGTTTGCAACCCGGATTTGTTTTTTCTCAATCGATTTATGAATTTCGAACAGCGGTATACTACTGTTGCCTTTATTTTGCATTTCTTACTTATGTTACTGGTAATTAGTCAAATTTATAAATTCCCAGAATAATTTCTGAATGCACTTCTTAACATCATTACCTATTATATCCATTGTAATAATAACTGCAAAATAAAAGCATCGTAAAAGATTTCACTCAAGAGTATTAAAAAAAGTAAAATTAAATGCATTACAATAACAAAATACTATTCAGACATAAAAATGTTCATAAGAAAAAAAAGATTTCTTAAAAAAAGGTAAGTAAAAAATATCTGGCTTTTGAAAACTAATGGTAGCCTATAAACACAATTTGCTGAAGTAAGTAGGAAGGTTTTGTAAAAGGAGGTAGAGCTAGTTTACAATCTTTACAAATCACTGAAATGTTTATGTCAACCATTTTCATAAATTTACTGTAAGCTTCTTAGTAACTCAGATTATTCTTTTTCTATTGCACATGAATGTTTAAAAAGAGTTGATGAAAAAGACCATGACATACATACTAATATATATATATCAATTCTTACATTGGTACAAGTGGATTAACGGATTTATCCAATCGAAATAATTAAATTAACGAATTTTAAAGTCTGAGCCTCAGGTAGGACTTTAAAATTGATAATTTAACTATCGAGATTGGATAAATCTGATAATCCATGAGTAACTATGTAAGAATCTGTTTCTCTAATGATTATCAAATAAATTTTCATTTTTGATTAACAAAAATCCCCTTCGAGTGCCTTCCACATTCCACAAAGTTGTCAATTTCATTAACACCTGTTAGCATATTTTGATTCATCCAGTGAGCTGATAAAGATTACGACCCTTAAACTCATCCAATCATCTTCTGAAATCATCAACAACCACACATTGATTAAATTTTTTTAATACAATGGGTCTGGAAAGGGTTAAATTGCCAAAGAATTAGAGAAACAGAATTATCTCCCTTAAGGATGTTCGCTACTTTTGTTTTTGAATTTTTGCCAGATATTCGGAATCCTCTGGTTTTATCCATGTAGTGCCATTAAAAATTTTGCCCCCTAATCCCTACTTTTCTTTTCATAATTTTAATACATATAGTTTTAAAAGCCAAATTTTATAAAATCCTTGTTATTTGTTCCTAGTTTTTGAAAGAAAATGGAGCCAATGTTAAATGTATGAAAAATCTAGAGAGAACCATTTTCCGCCAAATTTTCAACAGCTTATATCTCGAAAACAAGTACACGGACACTTCATTTTTTTCTACTTTTTTAGTTCCTTTATTTATATACTATCAATTTATAACAGTCTTTTAAAAAGCTTGTTATTTTGAAACAGAGTAGCGAACATTCTTAATTCAGATATACTCCAGGTGCTGGATTTTCTCGCTGTGTTGAAGACCCATTGTGGCCTTCGTCTGTGTTTTTTACTCTTTGGTCGGGTTGTTGTCTCTGTGACACATTCCCCATTTCCATTCTCTATTATATTCCTTGAGTCTTAAATCAATTCTGAGTATTATACCTTGTCAGAATATCTAACCTAATTAAAATCCATGATATTATTTCGTAATTAATTTCATTGCAAAAATATCACATAAGTAATCCTAACAAACAAACATATTTTTTACACACAAACAAACACATTCTACACAAAAAAAATTCTAATTATATCACGTACTGGGTATATTAAACAAAGTAAATAGTAAATACTTTCTGAATATAAATAAAAGCAATTCGGCAATCAAATACATAAATGCAAAAGAAAGGATATGCTGCACAATTTATGCAATAAAATCCGAACATGCACATGACCAAACCAAAAGAAAAGAAACTGACAGCCATTTTAATACTGTTCTCTTTTACAGGGTCACAGTCAGAGCTTAAAAATGATTATCTGACTTTTATATCAATTCTAATTTAATTACAAATGTGTTGATTTATTGCATGGACGTTATCAGCAAAATAATTATAATACATTATAAAATGTGTAATGGGTACTAAAAAATTATTTTGTTCACCTAAACAGGTAAATTTAACTATTCATCACTAACCAAATGAAAAAACAGGGGGCCTTTAAGTTTGACAGGCTACATAGTTAATTATATATTATGAGGAATTTGAATAAATACTTTTTGTTTTATTTCTTGAAAAAAATTTCTGAGATAAATGAAGTTATCTGATGCATCATTTGAAATTTGGGAACATTTGAAAAATTTATATTTCTCCTGAATGATGATCAAAAAGAAATAATGAATGTAGGAATATGTCAAAAATTGAAGATCAATATAACCAAAATTACACAAAAAGCTACAAAACTGGCTAAAGAACACATGGGGATGTTCAATTTCAAAGAAAATTTCTCGTGTATCAATATCCAAACCAAAACAATGCTACTAGGTAAGTAATAACCTCTGAACTTGCTGACCATTGCATTGACCAAACAAGAGTTAAACTAAATGACTAACTATAAGAAAATCATTATAAAAAACTTAAAACATCTGAAAATATGTTTTCACTTTACAAAGAGATAACTGTTAAACAGCAAAATGTAAAAAGGGAGACTACTCTATAGGTACTAAGAAAAAATCATTAAAAAAGCACTTATGAGTAATCTTTTCTTGTTATACTATATTGATAATTTGAGCATTTAAAAGGTATAATGTTATTCTTAACAATAGTTGGTAAGTATTTGTGGTATTAAAGGCACCAATCATTCATTTTTTGAAGGGTGAGGTTGACTTTTTCCATTAAAAATTGTTTGCCCTGAGAGAAAAAAAACATATTTGAATATAAACTTGATTGTAATGGAAAAGCTGCCCAATAGCTTTTGAAGAATGCTGGAAATGGAGTATTAAATGAAAAAGTATGAGGTAGAAGCCCAATACAGAGGTATAAGAATTAAGAATATAACAAAGCTATTAATCTTTAAGGTATTATTCTAAGAAAATAATTTCCATTAAAACTGTACATAAAAATACCCTTGGACAAAAGTAATGTCTAATGTACATTATCTTATAAAAGCTAGAGAAGTTTCTATCTGTAATCATTAACTTTTTATTAAAGTTTTGTATTTTAGTTTAACAACAAAAAACTCTATTCTGATATAAAAAAAATATCCTACCTTCAAAGAAAAATTACAAGTTTTCGTATAAATAAAAATTTATCTTTAATTAAGACTAAATCTAATGCCATTTGTAGGTGAGGGCAGTCTTACAAGTCTGGAGTACGACCATTCACTAGACAATTTCCAATTCTTTGAGATCTTTTTCATCTGTTCATATTCTTTTTCACAATGTTCCAGACGATTCAGAACATCAGACATTTTCAGGCGTGGAACTTGTAGAACAACAGCAGAAACTCCAATACTACCAGCCCAGATCCCTGATGATATCAACTGTTCTGTATCAACTCCTTTGAAAAGCTGCCATGCAAGTCGACCTGAAATTTTAAAATGTTTTCAGTTGTAGACATAAAGAAAATACAGAAAAACATCAACAATAAAAATCATTGAAAATCTTAAAAATTTAAAACATCATTGTTGTTTTGTCTCATTTATCATATTTATATATATCATGTATATTTCATATTTTGTAATGCCTTATATTATATATATATATATATACATGTATCATGTTACCTTTGTCATTGTTTTAAGCATGTCTGTCAACATTTCAAATTGTGTTGTGTTGTGTTGTGTTGTGTTGTGTTGTGTTGTGTTGTGTTGTGTTGTGTTGTGTTGTGTTGTGTTGTGTTGTGTTGTGTTGTGTTGTGTTGTGTTGTGTTGTGTTGTGTTGTGTTGTGTTGTGTTGTGTTGTGTTGTGTTGTGTTGTGTTGTGTTGTGTTGTGTTGTGTTGTGTTGTGTTGTGTTGTGTTGTGTTGTGTTGTGTTGTGTTGTGTTGTGTTGTGTTGTGTTGTGTTGTGTTGTGTTGTGTTGTGTTGTGTTGTGTTGTGTTGTGTTGTGTTGTGTTGTGTTGTGTTGTGTTGTGTTGTGTTGTGTTGTGTTGTGTTGTGTTGTGTGGTTTATACAAACTAACTCCATTTCTGGAAGGAAAATAGAAAATAAAATATTACAATCAGATCAAGGTAAACTTAATATTTATTTTTTCCTTTAAAACTCTATTTTGTTTTTAAAAAAATAATTAAGAGACTACTATTGTAAATTGGAATTATTTTTAATTATGGAATTTACATAATTTCTTGGGCTTGAAATTTTTAATAAACTCCATGTTTATTCTGTATTTTAATGTTCTCTGCGGCGCACAACACTTTCTATTACAAAGAAGATAGCACATTTTCAATAGAATGTACTGTGCCGCGAACAACACTATCTATACAAAATACATTGCATAGAAAGTGTTATGCCCTGCTAAAAAAATTATAATACAGAATTACCATGGAATTTATTAAAAATTTCAAGCACAAGAAATTATGCAAATTCCATAATTAAAAATAATTCCAAGTTGAAATAATAGTCTGTTAATATTGAAATCTAAAAGATTTTGGATTAGGGCAATCATCTGTAAGATTAGAATAAGCGCCCATCCATTACAGATTGAGATTGATAGATATACAAACATGTGTGTGAATAGAACACTTAGAAAATGTTTATACTATACATTAAATAAAGTTGAGGATAAGATACACTTTGTGACTGAATGCCCATTATATATTGATAATAGAACTGAGTTTTTTACTGAAATTTCATTAACCTGCAATAATTTTCAATCTTTAGACAATCTTTCAAAGTTTACATGACTATTTATACAAGAAAATTTAGATGTATATAAATGTTTGGGAAAGTATTTATCTAAAAATCTGGAGATAAGGAGAAGTTCAAAGATAATAAATGCAAATTAGCCACACATATACTTATTTTGAGTGGTATATTTTATAGATGTTATTTGTATTATCTGGTTCTGTCCTGGCCTTATATAACAGTTATTGTAAAACTGTGTTGATTTCTTTTATGTTTCTCAATTGATGTCTAATCTTATATATTTGTATGTAATGTGTTAAAAGCTCTTTATAGGGCCCTGTAATTGGAAATAAAAATATTCTATTCTATTCTATACCCATCATCATACAAAATTCTGACATATGAAATACCTGATTGATTGTTGTTTGTTTAATATCCAGTGGCAAATATTTCAAACATATTGCCAATTTTTGTGTTTGAAATTTAGGTGAGAATTTATATTTTGTTTTAATATTTGCATGAAAGAAACTTACTAGAATTTTCACAAGTTCTAATTTTTTTTAGATAATTTGCCATTTTAAATTGTGCAATGAAATATATCAACAACTAATAGATAAACGTAATTGTATTTCGGAATACTCACGAATTAAAAGTTCCATACCACAAACATTCGTGCAGATTTTAAAAAATAACGATGTTCAAAGCACTTTAAAAAGCCACAAAATCAAAATTTCTGAATACTTTGAATTTCTAAATCCAGATAATAAAATCATTAAAATCAAAGATTTGACATTAAAATATCTACAGTTAAACATAAACATAACTGAGACCCCTAAGTGTCAAACAAAATGGGAAAATTTGTGTAGCGAGTATATAAATTGGGAAAAAATTTGGCTAAATCTCAGTAAAATGGATATTAATAGAAAAGTTAAAGAATTCCAATGGAAATGTATACACAGGATTATATATACCGAAAAGAGACTACAAATAATGCATATGTCAAATGGAAAATGTCACTTATGTGATGAAAATAATAATATTGAAACACTCGAGCATTTATTTTATCAATGTAATAATGTTAAACCATTGATAGAAACAGTTGTCAGAAATTTACAACTTTGTAACCTAATAAATAACGAGACGCTCGTTGAAAAAGATATTCTAATAGGAATCTGTACAGATAATTCGAATAATATAATTGTTAATGCAATAATACTTTATTTTAAATGGGCTATTTGGAAAATACGTAATAAATGCAAATTCGATAAAATAAAACTGAATATGCAGTCTATACAAAGCCTGTTGAAATTGCAAATGAAAAACGAATTAAAACTACTCTTGCTATGCTCGGATATAAAGTATATATGCAGATCAAAAATTGAACTCTTTATCGAAAAAATATAAGAAGATATACTTAGTTCTACTGCTCTAAACTAAAGGTGTGTTTGATTCCATATATAATAATCTTATTGTATTATAGAAAGAACGTAGTGAACAATAAGTTATTTTTACAGAAAGAAATATTTGTATTGTAATCGATTTTTGAATCTATGTCTGTGCATATTATGTATATTAGTAAATTACCACATATATCATGCTTCTTAATACATTAGTACTTACCACATGTGCTTTATCCTTTTATAATCCATACTTATATATTACAGAATAATTTCAATTTTTGTTCAATCACGTCAATAATTTCCAATTCAAATTTTCTCAATCAAATATATAGTTTTCAAGTTTAAATAAACACATGTTAGTCAGTGAACTGGATATACGATAGTGATTATGTATTACAGTGATGCTTAACAGGTAAAATCGATTGTATTGGTTATTTAAATATATGTATGTAAAACTATTGTAAGTTTAAATTCATTTGATTTTTTCCCTGGTCAAGTGAGGCTGTTAAAATACAGGAGCCCCTAAGTATGCGACCTGGGCTACTTAGGTATTTATATATCAGGAAATGATTGAATAAAAATATTTGTTATCGTTAAAAAAAAAAAAAAAAAAAAAAAATTTGCCATAGTAATGTACCTGCACAAATGGCTCCTATTGCTATAGATGATGTATTGAAGAATCTTCTTTCTGAAGATGCCTTTTCTTTCACTCCTGTTGACACAGCAGACAACAAAATCTCACAGCCTTCTAAAAGGTCGATGACCTGCTTTGACCTTGTAGTCATAGCAAGCAAATGGTCCTCTTCAGAAACAGCAAGGTATTTTGTTTTTGTCGACTCTTTCAAAAAAGTCTGAGTAGAGTTTTGAAGAGTAACAACCACATTAGTGACTCTGTTAACTCTTGTTGTCAATTCTCTCAGCTGGCATTTTGTTTTGGTTGGCATGGTAATGACATTTTCAACTGCATCAACACAAATGCAGGAGGAAGCACTGACATATACTGTTTCTGAGACAATGACTAGCAACTGTCTCAACTGAGACAAAATATCTGAGATCAGACAGTTATTTCCTGCATTTCTTGAATAGTAATACTGCAGATAGGTCAAAAAGTCAAGTGTGTGACAGAGAAACTTTTGGTTTCCATGGATACCATCTGGTGACCTTTCTTGTGAGGTCTCTGAGAGATGACTAATAAAATCATTTAGAAGTGTAACGACCTTCACATCCTCTGCAACTGGATCTACCAATGTTTGAAGACCTGTGAACAGAAAATGCAGTATTGAAGTGTCATGAACAGTTAGCTCTGGGTTTTAAGTTTAAGAATTTATTGAAACAGTATAATATCAGTGTTCTCAATAAGAGCCGGCAACCGACAAAATCCGCCGCCTATTGCGTGTTTTGTGACGGCTATTAATTTATTGACAAAAATATGACATACGGAAAATCGCATACTCAGGATCTGTCGTACATTTTTTTCTACTAACTGGTTCCAAGTCAACCGCCAAGCATAAATAATACAATAAAATATGTAAACCAGTTTCAAATCATTTGAGCGTTTGAAACAACGCGATAAAATCTGTAAAAATAGAGATTGAAGTTGGCTAGGATATTTTAGACAGCTCGTTACAAAACTCAAACATGAAGAGAACGATCAGTGACTACTTCTAGCGTGAGCTGGCTTTACAGTAAAGCAAAGATAAGAATGCTTATATGGGGAGGGTTGAGATTTCAAAAAACATGTTTAACCCCGCCGCATTTTTGCGCCTGTCCCAAGTCAGGAGCCTCTGGCCTTTGTTAGTCTTGTATCATTTTTAATTTTAGTTTCTTGTGTATAATTTGGAGTTTAGTATGACGTCCATTATCACTGAACTAGTATACATATTTGTTTAGGGGCCAGCTGAAGGACACCTCCGGGTGCTTGAGTTTCTCGCTGCATTGAAGACCCATTGGTGGCCTTCGGCTGTTGTCTGCTCTATGGTCGGGTTGTTGTCTCTTTGACACATTCCCCATTTTCATTCTCAATTTTATTGCTTCGTGTATTCTTACATGGATTAAACTTGTGTGCATTCATGTATCTTATAGCATATTCACAGGAGTATAAAGTAAAATAAAACTAGGTGAAATCAGTCTGCATCTGACGATCTAATTTCTAGTCACTTCGGAAAGTGGTCAAATCGGCACCCGATATACTCAATTCGGCACCTAGTCAAATATATGTTGAATATATATTGTTTTTAGCATTTTTAGCAAAAAGATTAAAATAAAGAAGGGGGATGGCCATAATTAATTATTATTTATTTTCAAGTTCTTTTTGTTTCTTTGTGTATATTTTCTTCAGACTTTTTCTATAGGTGCTGATTTAACTTGTACCCTCTGACCAATGGACAAAAAAACAGAGAGAATTAAGTGTAACCTGATAAACTGTTGACACTACATAGTTCTTATTTCCTAGATTTAAATTTTTTTATTTTTCTAGCCATATTTTGTCAGTTGCTTACTGCAGATTTACAGTTTCCTCAGCAACTCTGGTTTCCTCTAAATATATATCTTACAAGTTTTTGAATGACTGAATAAAGCATAAATTAATGTTCTCAATGAATTATATTTGAAACTATAATACAAGACACTAAGAAATAATATGAAGTGAAGACACAATAACAAGGGCTGTGTATGTATGGGGAGGGGGAAGGATCATTAATAAAAAAGAATTTGCATGGGCTACTTCACATATTTTCCCAATTGATAAAAACTTAAAGTTAAGGAAAAATAAATTAAATGTTATTCAAATAAAAAGTGCCTTTCCCTCCCCTTACAATCAATTCTGGAATAGCCCTTAGTGATAAAGATTTGCAAATAAGAAGAACATTGAACATGCAAAGGGGTGAAGCAATTAAGCCATGTCATATAAAATCTGCAAAAAAAATCACATTTTAATTTTCAATTTTTTAGCAAAAATTTAAATGAGCTACTAAAAATGGACTAATTAACATGAAGAACTAGACATCATTGAGATGGGAGCAATCTCTGTGGGCCCTGCTGTGAATAACGTGTGGTAAAATTTTTGCATCTTTACCATAGGACATGGGGTTGTCATCTGACCTTTGACCTAGGAAGTTGTACATATATTCTGACACACCCTCTGGTGTTAGTTAATATACATGTCAAGTATAAACTTTGAAATCATAACGGTTCTCAAGATATAGAGCGCACACGATCTTTACCATAGGACATGGGGTTGTCAACTAAAACCAAAGTTTTTGACCTTGACCTTTGACCTAGGAAGTTGTACATACATTATGACACACCCTCTGGTGTTGGTTAATATACATGTCAAGTATAAACTTTGAAATCATAAAGGTTCTCAAGATATAGAGCGGACATGATCTTTACCTTAGGACATGGGGTTGTCAACCAGGGATGGGGTAATCGTAATCTGTAATCGTAATCGATTGTAATTGATTACATGTTTCCCAGTAATCGACAGTAATCTGTAATCGAAGACATTTTCGATTACATGTAATCGTAATTTAATCGATTACAGCAAAAATTAGGATGTAATCATCAATTACTTTTGATTACATTTCAATTACTTTTAGTGACATAGTTTGATGAAATTAAACCTACATGTATTTTAAATGAAAATATATATGCATTCATCACTTTATAGTACAGATAAAATAGAAAGTATTTAGACTTCAGAGCTTATCAAATGCCTTATTTGTATCTATTGTCTCAAGCTGCATTATGATCAACCAGAACTCCTACCAATTTTACTGTATATCCAGCTTTTCAAACAATTGACTTACTGTCTTCAATGCTTGTCAATTATTTAAAGACCTTTTATTTTGAAATAAGTAAATAGATAAAAATAAGAAATGAGTCTTATGTTAAGTTCTGTACTACTTTGACATTGAAGTGTAATTTTCAATAAGATTTGGAATTTTAGCTAAACTAGATACACAGTGGATTCGTTATAATATTATGATATAAAAATCAGAAAGTACACAACGTACCAATTGATTTGCATTGAAATTCTTGTTCAGAAATAGATACATGTATCCCATATTGACACTAAAATATATCTGGTTAAATATCATGATTTTGAATAGAGTATAGAAAAATTCCAACAAATTCCTGTGTATACTAATCAGATGATCAAGTACTTCTAATTAATAAGATGTTTTGATTTCAATTATGTCTAATTAAGAGGAGATTGACATTATATTTCCCCAGGTTATGAAATGTACTCCATTGGCAGTTTTATAACCTGTAATTAGGGAGATTATCCAAACAAAATAATTAATTCATGCATGTATTAGTTATAAATATAATAAATTTACATCTTTGAAATTAGCTGAACTAGTTTATTATTCTTCTTTTTACATTTTAATTGTAATATATACTATATCAAATATAGTTAAAAATTAATAAATACAAAATACCTAACTTAAGTCATTATGATAGCAAAACTTGAAAAATAAAGAGACATGTGGAAAATAAACTAGACTATAAAGAAGTGACTGAAGCCATGTGGTGTCATTGCAAGAACTTTATTACATCTCACTCATGTAGATAACCAGATTTTAAAGAATTTTTGAATATTTCAAATCCTCAGTGAGAGCTTCTATCTAGAAACAAACTGTCAACTTAAACTTTGAAAACAATGCTTTCAATGAAGTTTTGATCAAGTTATAAATTTCCCCTATACATAACAAAATGTTTGTGTTTAGCTTACTTTATTATTTTTTTGTAATTTTATAGCATGTAATTGACAGTAATCGAAAAGTAATCCAATTACTTTTGATAAAGTAATTGATTGCAATCGATTACATACAAAAATCAGAGTAATCGATTATTAATCGAATACACAAATATCCCTCAAGTAATCGATTATTAATCGATTACATTTGTCAGTAATCATGCCCATCCCTGTTGTCAACTGAAACCAAACTTTTTGACCTTGACCTTTGACCTAGTAAGTTGAACAAACATTATGACACATCCTCTGGTGTTGGTTAATATACATGTCAAGTATAAAGTATGAAATCATAACTGTTCTCTAGATATAGAGCGGACACAATTTGTTACGGACGGCCAGACTGATCACTAATGGGCGGGGCCCTAATAAGAGGTCAAAATCTACTCAGAACAGCCCAGATACCACCGCCTGCAATCTTCAGCTTTGATGATTTCTCGTTGGTGACATGAATTGCTTCTGACTTCCTGTGCTGCGTTTTGTGAAAGTGTGGATTATACCTCAAGTGAGGTATACATGTATTCTGAGACTACTATAACACAGAGATTGGTCACTTCACGTACTGGCCCGAGAACACAGTTATTTCGTAGTGCATTTCTTTTAGACAATAAATTCAAATTAAAAAAATCGCACCTGCTCTATCTCAAAAAGATTTTTACAGTGTAGTGTACTACTATTGATACAAATAATATCAAAATTATAGAAACTTCTACCAGCTCTAACTCAAAATATTGACAATTCTGTGTTAAGGGGGGCTAAAGTTCAGTTTGACAGCTTCCGACATTCTAATTTTTGACCTTTTTTAACTGGACCAAATCACTACTTAACATAAAGATTCAGCACCCAAATTTTTTTTACATGTAATTTCATCCTCTTACTTAATATTTCATGCATAAAATATCAAGAAATAAATTGGGAAAGTGTATCAAAAAAAAATGCAAGTTATACACTGTTCACACTAGGGACTATATTTGTAGACAACGAAAACCAAAGGACGATAACTGTGTCCTTGGACCTAATAGGATAGAAAGACTTGACCAATTTTAATAAAACTTTGCATGACCTAAGCTTAGGCAATTTTAAGATAGTTGGCCAAGTTTCATGGACATAGGATATATATTATAGAAACTAGGGCTATTTTAATATTGAAATTTGGATGTTTATTTTTGACGTTTAAATCAAATATTTTCAACTGTCAAGATTTTGGCCTAAAAAATTTAAATATTGCAAAAATTTGCTTTTTAAACACTCTTGAATTTAATATAATAAGTATTAAAAGCAACGGAACACTCATTTGATTTATCAGATTTATTACAGTTATTCAAAAGTCAAATTTATATGAGCCTGTGCCTGAAAATAGAGATTTTCGAATTAAGGGAAGCCTTACATAAACATGCATTTTTTTCAACCAATTTGAAGTTTTTGAAGGTTTTTAACCATACATTATTCTTCCATATATATTAAATGTACTTTAAATGTAAAGTAAAGTTACAAAAAGCATA